TTATATTAAAGATTTGTTAAAAACGAAAACTAAAATATCCCTAATTTACGGTTATGGGATACTTGAAGCTCCTTTTTTAATTTGAGACATCTAGCAATTTCTAACAAAGTACTATGGAATCGTTCTACTTGTCCGTTAGACGTACTAAGCAATGGTGGGGCATTAATTACTTCCACATTATATCGATTAAATAGTATTGACTTTATTGTCTGTGAGTTAAGTGATTTTTCATTGTCACAAAAATCGTTTTTGTGTAAGGAAATATGTTCATTAGTTAAATGATTGGTGCTTTTATATCTACAATAGTTCAAGAAGGTATAGGTGCACAACTGCAAACTTTGAGAATTTATCAACACATATTAAAATAATTTTTTATCAGTAGAAAATATGTCTACGTGTAGTATTTCACCGGTATAAGATAGAATTGGTGTTTCACCTATCACATGCTTCTTTGGATGCCTTTGATACTTTGCTCTAGAGCACATTTTACAATTTGTCACTACTTTGCCATTTTTGTCATTTTCGGAAAATAATAATCTTGTGAAATCTGTTTCACATTCTCTTGTGCGGCTCTATGTGCACGAGGGTGCTCCACTTCTACTTTTTCTCTTTGATCGCCATTGTCGAACACATCCATCACGTATTTTCCTGAATACCAAAATTTTGTTGTTGGAAAAAGTTTGACCAAATCGTGTTGTATATATGCTAGGATGGGTAACTCTCAATATATCGTATTTACTACATCTGCTTTGCCCCTACGTGGTAGGCACCTTGACGTGGTGTAGGGGCTTAGCTACAGGCAAGCTTGCTGACTTTGGGTCTCCTGCTCATTGTCTATGCAATGGTCAGAAGACCTTTTTGTCGGTCTGGCTTGTGGGTACAACAAAGAACTACCAGTAGTTGTGTTGTCCTGTAGTTTATGTGCATGTATGTGTGTCTTTGTCTCTTATGTATGCATGTATGTTCTTTGTGTTTTTAGAATGAATGGAAGTGTGTAGGTCCACTAGGTGTCTGGGGACCAGGGTTTATGACGAACCAAGACCGTCCATACGTGGTGCAGAGCCACATATTATGGCGGATCTAGAGAGGTAAACTCGATAAAACCCGCAATCCTGGGTGTATGAACGACCGTGCCCAAGGATGAATGGCACTGCGTAAGTGTGTCTTAGAACGGTGGACTCCGGATACCTGGCGACCTCCGGTTTCAATCCAGCCTTTCTGAAGTAAAGGGGGCTATGCTTCGGACGACCTCCCTTTCCCCTACACTCGTGGGAACATTTATGGACTCTTTAAACAAATTAAATAAACAAAAAACTAACAAGGAACTAGGTACCAGTTCCGAAGACGAGCTCCTGGCATCAAGTCAAGAAAACGAGCGAGTCGAAACCGCCATACTACCCAAAGTAGGCAGTAGCAGCCGCACTGCGCCTACTTCGCACATAACAGTAAAATCGGCAGACAAGCGCGCCAGCCATAGTGCGCCTGCCGAGAAATCAAAAAAGTCTGAGGCAAAGATCAGACGTCAAAGGTACCAGAAGGCCATGTTCATTCTTGGCAAGATTGCTAAAAATGAAGCTGAAGGTAAAGAACAGACGTTTGACCGTACAGACAAAGTACGATATCAGAAGGTGGTCGATGAGTATAACGAATACCAGGCCACCCTATCAAAACCCGCAAAGGCAATGAAGAGGGATCGGTCTCAGGACGAGACGGCCCATACTTCAAAAAGCAAGGTAGCGAGAACGAGTTATACTAGTAAACCGTCAACGAGTGCGAAAAGGGCATATAACGAAGTAGCAAGGGATGAGCTACAGGTGGCGCTCATTGATGATATTACCGGGAATGGAAAAAAGGTGCTGGAGAAATGGGGCGAGATTGAGCCCAAGCTGGCTGGAATGGTGATGGAACACCTTCTAACAAATCTAGACGCCCCCACACCAGGCTTTGATTCATCAGAAGTGGTTCGTGGTTGCAGGGTCTTCAAATGTGATGACCAGCTATCTAAAGTATTTCTTGGCAACTGCATTGCTAAGGTAAGTGATACATGGGAAGGTTTAAGGCTAAAGCTTATCCCAGCCAACGATATCCCTAGAAGACCAAGGGCCCGCATTTGGCTGCCAATTATGAAGATGGAGCATGAGAAAGTTCTCCAGCTGCTACAACGGCAGAACCAAAATGTGCCAATGAATGACTGGGTAGTCATCAAGGACGAGGGCACACAAAAAAACAATATGACGCTTCTTCTGGCGATAAACGAGGAATCCGTGAAGCCATTGGAAGAAATGGACTGTAAGCTGAGGTTTGGCGTACGGTACACCAAAATAAAAATATTCCGCCCAACAGGCAATGATGATGATGGCAAGGAGTTAGAGGATGCTAACAAAATGCTTGACGGTATGAAGCTTCAGGAAGAAGCTTCAGAAACCTCGTAAGCCTGCACGAATGCTGAAAGTAGCACAAATTAACCTTCAGCATTCGAAAATCGCATCGGACAATCTCGCCATCTTTCTCATAGAGGAGGATGTCGATGTCAGCATTGTGCAAGAGCCATGGGTCAGAGGTAAGGACATCATGGGGCTAATGCTGAAAAATTATAACAATTTATATATTAGGAACAATGGTAAGCCAAGATCATGTATCCTAGTAAAAAAATGTATTAATGCCTTTTTATGTCCACAGTATAGCGATAAAGATCTAACAGTCGTAAGGATCGAAATGCCAGGTGGACAAAATTATATTGTGGCTTCTGCTTACATGGCACATGATAGAGATGCTCCTCCGGAAGAGGTAGTCGCGCTAGTAAACAGAAGTACATCAAAAGATATTCCCACGTTAATTGGATGTGACGCCAATGCGCGGCATACGCTTTGGGGCAGTTCGGAAACCAATGACAGGGGTGAGTACCTTTTTGATTTTATTAGCAATTCGAACCTTTTAATTTGCAATAGAGGTAAAACACCTACTTTCACTTTCCCCAGTTAACAAGGGTTTGAAGGATGGGAAGAAGTGCTAGATATAACACTCCTATCCGAAAATCCAGATATTGTAGTTAGTAATTGGAAGGTATCTGACAAGAAATCCTTTTCGGATCATAGTTGGATTCTCTTCAACTTAAACATTAAACCAAATCATACCATCCCCTTTAGAAACCCGAAGAAGATAAAATGGGATATTTTTACAAGGGTAACTAAGGTGGAACTTAATAAAGTAGGACAAATTAAGATAGACTCTACTAGTAAGTTAGACGAGAGGATATATAATCTTGAGGCAGCTTTTAATATAGCTTACAAGAAATCTTGTCCAACAAGTAGAAGCAAAAAATCTTTTCCACCTTGGTGGAATTCAGAATTAAGTGATCTCAGGCAGAGAACACGAAAACAGTTTAACGAAAGCTATAAGGACAATAGTTGGCATGAATATAGGGAATGTCTTAAAGCTTACAAGAAAGCTATCAGGAAGGCCAAAAGTAATGGCTGGAAGGAATTTTGTAAGTCAATTGAATCAACCTCATCCTCTGCTAGGCTCAGCAAGGTTTTATCCAAGGAAAGTGCAAATCCTTCTTATCTCAAGAAAGAGGACGGCACATGGACTGAAACCTCTGCTGAGACACTAAGATTACTATTAGACACTCATTTCCCAAACTGTAACGATGATGCTAGAGAAAACGGTTCAATCACCTTGGCAAGCACATCATCACAGATGACTGAAGAAATAGTCACAGCGGAAAAAATTAGGTATTCAATTAACAGTTTCTGTCCCTATAAATCGCCAGGTTTGGACGGTATTTTCCCTATTATGTTGCAAAAACTACAAGACTTAGTGGTTCCATGGTTAGGGGAAATTTACAAAGCATGTCTTAAATATAGTTATGTACCACTTAGTTGGAGACAGGTTAAAGTAGTCTTTATACCCAAGGCAGGCAAAATCGGACATGAGTCCGCCAAAGATTACAGGCCGATTAGCCTAACTTCATTCTTACTAAAAACAATGGAGAGGGTAATAGAGCTCCACCTAAGACAAAAGGTAGAACGCTTTCCAATCTCTAAATCCCAGCATGCTTACCTCAAGGGTAGATCTACGGAAACAGCTCTGCATGAGGTTATTCGTACTGTGGAAAAATCGATTCATTTTAAGCAATACTCGTTGGCAACCTTCTTAGATATTGAAGGAGCTTTTAACAATGTAAGCAATAAAGCTATTCATGACTCACTTTCCAGAATAGGTTTAGAGGAAGAGCTTAAAAATTGGATAATTACTATGCTTAAAACAAGGATTATTCAATCAAAGCTAGGCAGCATAACACAAACGAAGCACGTCAGCAGGGGTACGCCACAAGGAGGGGTTATTTCACCATTACTGTGGCTGCTGGTCGTGGATAATATTCTTAATATTCTAGATAAGATAGGTGTGAAAGCAGTAGCGTACGCGGATGACGTGGTTATTCTAGTGTCAGGTATGTTCCCTAACATAATTAGCGACATTATGGAAAGGGCCTTGGTTAAGATAAGTACCTGGGCCACAGGTTGTGGACTAGGTATTAACCCAGGAAAAACTGATATGATGCTGTTTACTACTAAAACCAAAATACCAGCTTTCAGGTTGCCTTCACTAAACGGGCAACAGTTAAAACTATCGGAAAAAGCCAAATATCTAGGAATTCTGTTGGATAGTAAGTTAAACTGGAAACACAATGTCGATCTTCGTATCAAGAAGGCATGTGTAGCTTTCTATTCTTGCAAGAGGATGTTTGGCAAAAAATGGGAGATTCGTCCCGAAATTACCCACTGGATGTACACGGCAATTGTACGACCAATTCTCACATATGGTGCTGTCGTATGGTGGCCGGCTCTAAACAAGAGCTATAATATCGACAAACTTAACAGAATTCAGAGGACGGCATGTGTAGGCATCACAGGAGCTTTTAGGACGACTCCTTCGGACGCCCTAAATGTGATGCTGCATTTGCTACCTATTGATTTTCACATTAAAAACATGGTTTGTAATAGCGCTGTAAGACTGAAAGTAACAGGCGTATGGTTAGAACGAACATATGGACATAGTCGGATTCTAGGTACAGTGCCAAATTGTCTGTATAGGATGACATCGGATTATCTGAATCCGTGTATAGACTTCGAAAGGAACTTCCAGACAATATTCCCTTCAAGAAATGAGTGGAAAAGGAAAAATTTCGAAGCAAATTACGATATCTCAATATATACAGATGGCTCGAAAATGAGCGGTGGGGCAGGAGCAGGAATCTTCGCACCATCTAAAAATACAAATATCTCTCTTAGGAGAACAGATGTAGTATTGCTATTTTTATTGACAGCCAGGCAGCAATTAAAGCTCTTGAATCCTTTATAACAAAATCAAAAATAGTAAAAGAATGTAGAGAAGCAATCGACGAGCTAAACCGGTTGGCCGATATCACACTCATCTGGGTTCCTGGGCATAGGAACATCGTAGGGAATGAGAAAGCTGATAGTTTAGCCCGCTCTGGTGCCTCCCTAGATGCGTCACTGGCGGTATCAGTCTATATTACCCTGGAGACCATCAAAAGAAGTACCTTTCTTTACTTTCTGCAACTCGCCAATAACAGATGGAAAGCACTAAGGTCATGTGCAACTTCCAGGTTAA